GCCAGAGAACTGCCACCGCCGCTGGGGGCCACGAGTAGGACCAAGCGGTTTGTGTCTGAGGCTCGCTTCGTGGAAACGCTGCTGGTGGCCGACGCGTCCATGGCTGCCTTCTACGGGGACGACCTGCAGGTAAGACTCCGAGAGCCTTCCCCAGGCGCCTTGCCTGCAGGCCCCCAGTGTCTTTAAATTCTTCCCTACCCGATCCCTGGGTGGGGGGGGTGTCGGGGGGACCCTTCACGTCCCTCACTCGCCCGAGGCAGACCCCAAACAAGATTCTCTCCTACCTTCTGGCACCCTGGCCTCCTACTCCCCCAACGCTTCCACGTTAGAGTGGAGCCTCCGACACTGTCTGGTCCCTGCGCTGGTCCCTGCCATCCTGAATCTCCTGAGCACGTGCACACCGAACAAAAAGTGGGCTTGAAAACACCCCCCTCCAGGTCACCTGTCCTCCCAACAGAGATGAATATTGAACATTTTGGAAGAGCGTGGAGCCTCCGACACTGTCTGGTCCCTGCGCTGGTCCCTGCCATCCTGAATCTCCTGAGCACGTGCACACCGAACAAAAAGTGGGCTTGAAGACACCCCCCTCCAGGTCACCTGTCCTCCCAACAGAGATGAATATTGAACATTTTGGAAGAGCACCCACCCCCAGCCCCCATTTCCTCAGCCCTCCACTGTCTCCAGGTCTGGGAGTCTCCCAAGGAAAGGCAGCTGGGATGGAAAGAGATGGCTGTTTGATTCTCTTTGAACAGAACTGATGTTGCCATAAGTAAAAGACATTGTTTGGAGGGAACTGAACCTGGAAAGGGGCTGCCCAACTTCTGTGTGCCCAGCTGGTTCTGATCAAGGGGCATGGACTACCTTGCCAACCTGGCGCTCAGCCCCGGCAGAACTTGGCGGTGCCAGCATCTAGCATAAGAAGGGAAGGGAAGGGAACAGAATTTCTGCCTGGGGGCTTAGCCTGGGAAATTGAAGCTTCAGTGGAAACGGGGGCGAGGGGGGAGCAGAGGTTGGGATGAGCTCTTCCAGTTAGTGTCTCTGGTGGAGCCAGAACCCGGCTAGGTCTGCCTGGCTGCCCTCAGCCCAGACGTAGCTCTCAATTGAGCTGGAGCAGAGAAACTGAGTCCAAGGCATGACTGCTGTAGCAGCCTATGTTTCTAACTAGAAGCAAAGATGGTGCTGACTCAGCAAGAGGTGTGTGTGTGGCCTTAAGCCCCAACACCTCCCCCAAAGACCAGGCAAAGGTCTTCCCAGGAGGGAAAGAGGGTAAGTGTTCCAGGAGAGGGCTGTACTTTCTCTTCCCCTAGGGAGCCAGAGATGTACCAGGTAAAGAAACTGAGCTGCGCAGAGGTTATAGTTCCCTGAAACAGAGATCCTGGCACCACAGCAGCTCAGTTGACACTTTTGTAGTGATGACATTCTTGACCCGGGACCCCATTCTAGGCTCAGCCTATGCCCAACTGTTGGGGGCAGCAAGGACAGAGGAATCACCTGTGCAGTAGAGTTCAGACTAGGAGGCAGTCAGACTCCTGTTTCTCACCTGACCTTTCCTACGCTGCAATCACTGGGACGTGCAGGATGGGAAAGATCAGGTGAGAAACAGATGATAGGACAGAAGCGCTGTGGCTGAGGTCCATGTGGCTGCTCTCCTGGTTGCTGAGGCTCCCCCGCACGCTCTCGTGGTGTTCGCTTCTCCCAGAGCACTGTGATGCAGCTCTGAGCCCTCAGGGCAGTCTGCCCCATGAGCTTGGGGTCCACACTCATTTAGTATTTGTTTCTCTGCCTATCCTGAGAGCAAGAGGAGGCACCAGCCATCTCCTTTCCCCAACAGTACTGGAGAGGGTGGCAGGAGAGGAGCGAGAAGAGAGCTTCTCCCAGCTCATTGGATCACCACACCTGGCTCCTGGGGAGGTCCACCAGAAAGAAGCGGAGATACACTCACTGCAAACCCAGAGCTGAGATGTGCTCCTCCCCATGCATAGACCAGTTTCTGACATCTGCCTGAGAACCAAGATGTAGGAAAGCCAATAAGAACCCAGGGAAGCTGCAGAAAAGTCAGTTCTTTGGTCTTCAGGGCCAAAATGTCCTCCCAAATACCTTCCTGTAGCCTCACTCTCAGCTCATCACCTAGACACTGGAGATACTGAGTATTTGCCTCAAGGACATTCTTGGCATCTCCAGACATCACAGCTGTGTAGAGGCGACGTGCTTCAGTGCAGGGCTCTGGGATTCCCGGGCCCCTGGAGCAGGAGGCTGGGCTGGGTTTTGCACCAGGTTTTGTTCACTTCGGCTTGTGATCCAGGTTTGTTGCCCCCAGACAAGTCAGCTCTCTCCATCACAGAGCCACCTGAGGCACTTGCATGCTCATGGGACTCCTGGCTGGAAAGTCAGGCTCATGCTTGCCCCACCCCCTCCTCTGCCATATACATGCATTTCTGGACCATTCACAGGCACCACTGCACCCGGCCAGCCAACGTGGATCAGGAGAGTGCACCTGTGGAGTCTGAGTTCCTCTCCCTGGGGGGTCTACTGCTAGGTCATACACGTAAAGTGTTCTCTCAGCTGGACCAGCCCCTCAACCACCACATTGGTCTCACTGTATCCCAGCCCACCTGCTCCCGGGCTGCCCCCGTGCCAGAGCAAGTGGGGGAGGGGCTGACACACAGCTGTTTTCTCTGACAACCACCAGCCCTCAGCTCTGATGAGCTGACCAGCCGTAGAGATACTGCAGACGAGGCTTGAACTTCTTCTCAGCTCAGTCCCCTGGGCTTCCCAACATGGGTCTATGAGCTCAGCCAAGGGAAGATGAAAACAAAGTACTGGTGCACCAAGACTTTGCCTGCCCAGAGCCTGCTCCCCCAAATAAGAGCCAGTTTTTTAATACACATCTCTCCAGGGAGACTCCCAGAGACTGCATCCCCACAGATGGAGGGCACGTTGAGGTGTCTTTGTAATGGTGGGGGTGAAAATGATGAAAAGAGCCTTTCTTTACCCCTCCAGGACTTTGATTTCCTCATCTGTTAAGCAAGACACCTGGACGAGGTCATCAATTCTAGTCTAAGCATCTATGAGGCTGCTTCATGATGAGCCAGTCTTCTGGAAGGTTCAGCCTTTGTCTGAGTATATTCAATTTAGAGAGTGGTTTTACATGCATCATCTCAATGGAAATACCTGGGGCCAGGGAGTGAGCAGGGGGCAGAAGAAGAACGTGCACCTCGCAGAGTATGTGTGACTTTCCCAAGGTCACACAAGTAAGTGGCAGGGCTGCATCTGCAACCCAAGTCTCCCAAACCTGAGTTCAGGCTCTGTGTCATACTGCCTCTGTCACACAATGAGGATCTGTGACTCTGTTTACCCTCTGCCACTTGTCTGTGTTGTGGGAATTGTTCCTTAAGTCCAGCAGTCCAAAGACGCCCAGCCAAAGTGTGAGGCCCTGTTCCGAGAAGAAACCCCTGTCAAGGCTGAGAGAAACAGCCATGCTCGAGGCTGGTCTCATTGCTAAGCGACAATGAAGTTTTCCAGAACTCTGTACAACTGAGTTCACTTAATCCTTTGACAAAAGGGGCTCCCACCTCCCACCTTCTTATCTGGTTTCAGAGTTAAGGAGCTCAGACAAGGGGGGCTTTCTGAAAGGAGGGGACCTCCTCGGAAGAGTCCATTAACTCTGTCCACATGTGGCTGCTATTAATCGTCCCCTGGATGAACCTGGAGCAGGAAAGAGTGGCAGGCTGAGCAGTGCCCATGCTCAGTCTGGGATGTCTGTCCCACCAGCAGTGAGTGAGCGGAGTTTTGAATTTTCTTAGCAGCAAGGATCCTAGGAGTGGCAGTCATCTTCTCCAAAGCAGACCACAGCACACCCAAGATGTCAGGCTCCTACGGGCTTTCAGGGAAGGCCTCTCACAGCCATCTCATCTCCCCTTTACTTATACCTCTGGGGAGAATGTTTTCCACAAGATAATATATGCTAAAGTGACCATATAGCTGAATTTGCCCAGCACAGTCCCAGTTTGTGCCTGTTCTGGCCTAATTCTTAGGAGTACCATCTTCCAGTGTCAAGAGTGGCCTGGTTTGGATGATAGCAGGAACAGATACATGCCCACCAGCTCTATAACTCCCCAAGCCTTCATAGGTGAAAGACGAGTGTATGTGCGTGAATTATGTTCTTCCTACTGGCAAAAAATGAGTCTTTTCCATCCTTTGTGTCTGCTGCAGTTAGAATGATTGAAGATACAAAGTATTTCCCAAAGGAAGTGTTTTAATATCCAGAGTTCTTTAATTTGCAGAGTCTGCCACTTCCCCCTCCCCTGGGGTAGGGTGCGCATAGACAGTGGCGGGGGTGGGCTTGCTTTCTTGCATGCTTTGGCTTTGTTTTGGCTAGGCTGTAGTTTTCCTGATAACAGCAAAGATGGGTGGCAGTCAGTGTGGTGACTATAGACTTGGGAGGGAGATAGAAATCATTGAGTGTTCTTGAGCAAGTTAGGTGTTTCTCTGTAACTCAATTTCTTTACCAGCAAAATAGAAGCAGTTATGCCAAGGTCCTAGCATTGTCTTGAGGATGTAACAGAATATGGATAGCACCTGACCCAGGGCCTGGTACAGAACAAGTGCTCAACAAAGCATAGCTATTACTAGAGTTGCCTTTGGTGATGGAAACCATTCGTCAGAATGGGGAGGATGGCGCGGCCACACGCCCTCAGAGTACCAGCCACTGCTATTTCAGCACTGCTGCTGCACACAGCAGAGAGGCCTTCTTTTCAGCTTGCCCTGATCCAAGTATTTAAGGCTGACTCCTTATAGTTAGTTCTGCATAAGCGTGTGTTTTGGAGAGGTGACATCGCCCCATGCTGCTTGGAGGACAAGGAGAGATGAAGGGTATCTGTGCAGGTCCCTCTCTTTTCTCTTCTCGCTTCTTCCCTCTCCCTTTGCTTCTCCCCACCCACTCCCCAGCACAGTCTCAGGCCCTAGAGAGAGGCCAGGAAGGCAGCAGCTGCTGAGGTTGGGGGATCTCCACATGGCCACCTATCCAGGCTCCCCTCAAGACATGCCGCAGGCAATGCAACCTGCAATGTGTAGCACAAATGAGCAAAGCCTAACAGGTGACATTCCGGGCAGGGGAAGAGCATTCTGGCCCAGGCCCAGCCTTCCCCTAGCCTCCCACCAGTTGGCTTTGGCTGCTGCAGGGGCTCTGGGGGAGGAATCTCCTTGTTTGTATCTCAAAGAATCAAAGAGGACTATGTCCCAGCTAGCTGGCTGGGGTGGGTTTCTCTATTCCAGGTCCTGGGGCACCAATGCAGGAGGAGACTCCCTGAAAAATGCCATCCTTCCCCAACAAGATTTAAGGGTGTGAAATCTCCAGGTCATTCAAGAACCTCCCTCAGCCGGGCTGATTACAGGTTCCCACCTACCTGATATGATTTTTGCACGTTGTCTGCTATGCGGGGACCCCCTCCATGGGAGCCAGCCTGCACTTGCGTGGTGAGCAGGGAGGTATAAATAGACACCTGTTGGTGGAGCAAACTACCTGACTGTCCTCTTGACCAGCTGCCAGGCCTGCTCCCCACGGGCCCAGGGGATTGGTGGAGAATCAGAAGTTGACTGTCCTCTTGACCAGCTGCCAGGCCTGCTCCCCACGGGCCCAGGGGATTGGTGGAGAATCAGAAGTTCACAGACTCGAGGTCACCCAGCTGCGAAGCTCAGGAGTCCTCCCTCCTTGGGAACCGTGAGCTGCACTACAAATGTAGGCACTCCTGCTGCTGGTTCTCAGAAGAGCTGACTGATGGGGCGGTGATGGGGTCAGCAGCCCTTGGTCTCCAAAAGTTTGGTGAGACAAGAGATCAGGGGAGGTCAACAGGACTGGGATTGGGGATTTTGAAAGAACCTCAGAATCCCTGCGGCCCTTTTGCAATACAGATTATCTTCTGAGATGGTCAGAAGGACCTGCTGATGTCTTCAAGTCCACGCCACTGCCTTGAAGCAAAGTGGCTCTGGGGCCAGCTTAGCCTGACGGCTATGCAGCATCTGGAAAAGATAATCATACACTCCCTGAACAGCAGAGGAGGAGGCTCCCTGGAAACCTCAGTGCTGGGGAGCTCATCCTGCTGTCTCACCCTGACCCTCATGCAGTAGGCTTACGCTTGCTTCCCTCTGTCATAACTGAGGATGTGACTGCTGCATGGTCTCTCACACAGCCCCAGTCTGATCTGACCAGCCTGGACACACACGCCATTCCCTGTACTGACCTGCCTTGGTTGGCATTTAGCAGCGGCATCTCTTGGCTTCACATCTTCTTTGTAAGATGTCATCTTCCCCAATTTTCAGATTATGCAATTGGGACTCGACAGGAAGAAATCTTGTGAGGACAGTTGCAGGTTGCCTTGGAAGGAATTCCAGGGATTGGTCCCTGGATCATCAGACCCTGGCCCTTCCTAGAGAGACCAGGAGACTCTGGCCCTGGAAGCAGTGAAGACCCGGCCAGGAATTAGGCTCTGCAAGCTACCATTCCTCAGCACTCACCCCCAGTTGCATAATGATGTGATTGCTTTTTTGCCTCAGGAATCCAAGTCCAGGAGCAAGAGCCAAGTTTCAGTTTTGCTGATAAGATGTTTACATCAGCCTAAACGTAGCTGGAGTGCTTGACACGCTAAGTAACCTGCCAACCCCCATTTGTAGGGCTAACAAAATACCTGGCTTGTTGCCTGTGAGGTGAACAGACAGATCCCATTCACAAATAATGGGACACATCTGGAACTCCCACATGTGGCCTCACCCGATGGAATGTCCCACTCTACCCTTTCCCCTCCTTCTGCTCCCACCTTCCAGACCACAGGAGAAGAGAAAGAGGACTACTGGAGGGGGTGCTCCAGTAGGCAGGGCAAGAAAGCAGTAGCTGTCTCTGCCCCTTTGTCTCCCCTTCTGCAAAATAACCCAAGAGGCCACCTCAAGGGGTCCCTGAGGCTGGAGAGTGAGCTCCCATCTGGCCTCCTCTCAAAGCCTGGGGATCTGGCAGGGGAGCAGTTGGCAGCCCAGGGATAGGACAGAGGCCAAGCAGTGACGTAGGCTCCTTCAGCCGCCTGGATGGAACTGCAGGCAGGTGGGAGCCTCAGCACGTGGGTCTCGTTAGGCCCACTGGATTCTCTCGAGCCCCAGGCAGAAGGGAATAAACCCTTCAGGGCTATCCAGGCAAAAACCAGGAAGCCAAGCCCTGGGAAATGTACTGGGAATTGTATGGCCTTCAGAGACAGACACCCGTGGGCCAGCATCCCAGCTTTCAGACCTTGTATGACCTTCTACTTTCTCCTTTGAGAAGCAGGGATTACAGTGCCTGCTTCATAGAGTTATTGTGAGAATTTAATGAGGGGATGTGCGTAAGTGTGGCCAGTGACGGGTGCAGAGTCGTGATTGTTAGGAGTGATTATCAGAGCAAAGTTTTCAGGGTTACCAGTTTCCATCCTGAAGGATAGAAGTTACCTCAACATAAAGGAATATGCTCGGCTGGACTCTAAGAGGGAAATTCTACTAACCTTGAGCACTCAGATAATTGCTTCTGGGCTGAGGCCAGGCGTGGTTGGCAGGGAGGCAGTTGGTGTCAAGATTAAGGCAGAATAAGCCATGTAGTCCCATAGAACCCTCTTTTGTGTGTGTGATGGCTGGCCGGTACTAGGAACCAAACCCTTGACCTTGGTGTTACAAGGCTGTGTGCTAAGTAACTGAGCCAACCCGCCGGTGCCGGTATGACTTTCTGTCTGTGCACTCCACGTAGTAGACATGAGCCTTATCAGCTGTTGAGGCACCGGCCTGACTGAGGAACTGTGATTTTAAATTTGTTGAATTTTAATTAATTTAGATTCAGATAGCCACATGTGATTGGTGGGGATCTTAAATGCACAAGCTTTGGAGAATTAAATCTGGGTTCAAATGCTGATTGCACTCATCAGCTTTGCAATCTTGGGCCCATTCCTGAGCTCTGGTTTTCTCATTCTTACATGTGACATGAAGGGAGATAACAACAAGGCCTCAAGGGTTTTGTGAGCCTTGGGGCTTGAGGTAAAAGCCCCATAACAAGAGGTGGTGGCAGGGGCAGGCCAAGGGCCTTGAGATTTAACCCTTCACTCCCTGGCCATCTCCTCCCTCCCGGCAGAACCACGTACTGACACTGATGTCGGTGGCAGCCCGAATCTACAAGCACCCCAGCATCAGGAATTCCATCCACCTGATGGTGGTCAAAGTGCTTATTGTGGAAGACGAAAAGCAGGGCCCAGAGGTGTCCGACAACGGGGGGCTTACGCTGCGCAACTTCTGCAACTGGCAGCAGCGTTTCAACCAGCCCAGTGATCGCCACCCGGAGCACTACGACACGGCCATCCTGCTCACCAGACAGGTCTGTGCCTAGCTCCAGAAGCCCCGGGAGGAAGGGAGATGGGCTGGGCAGATGAAAGGGACGACCCCGAGGCCTGCCCAAACATGGGAAGTGTCTTCCTGCTGGCCGCAGCTGGACGCCAGAGCCCCATGCTCGGAATGATGAGGAGGAGGTCATGAGGACAAGTGTGAGGTATTCGCAAGGGAAGGAGAGGAATCTTGTGAGGGCTCTTTTCCAAGCGTTTGTGACCAGCTGTCTGCTGAGGTCATAACAAAAGAAGATGGGCTCGAGCTGCCCAGTGAGAGATCTGGGGTTGGGATTAAGACAGGAGCTCTATCTTCAGTGGCTGTTAAAAATAGGGGCAGGTGACCGGGGGTCCCCCAAGATTCTCCCAGCAGGAGGGCTGCCCACCCGTCTGGCATCATTTAAACAGGCGGTTTCCGGGAGACGAGAGGGTGGTCATACGTGTCAGGCCCTGTCCACTCCTTCAGTTCTCACAACAGCACTACCAGGCAAGTGGACTGGTGTCACTCCTGTTTTACAGCTGAGGAAACTGAGGCACAGAGAGGCCACATAGTGGCAGTGACCTCATGTAGGGTCATGCTCTGAACCACTGTGCTGTCCTGCCTCCCAAAACAAGCCTTTGCAGTCCCGGCGACCGACAATGGGAACAGGCCTCCTTACATGTGTGGCCCATGAGAAGACAGAAGATTTTCTGTTCCATGTCACTCAGAAATCTATCTTTTTTTTTTTTTTTTTTTTTTTTTTTTTTTTTTT